TTTTTTGATGAGGGAGACACAAGGGATTCACTACGTGACTGGCCTAGAACTCAGAGATCTGCCTGCCTCTGCCTCCCAGATGCTGGAATGAAGGCGTGTGTTACCATGCCCAGCTCAAGCCCTGGTTTGTTTGTTTTTAATTTATCTGTATGAGCGTTATTTTTATTATTTGTTAATATATAGTTATAATATATATTTATTTTATGTGTATGAATGTTTTGCCTGTGTGTAAATGTACCACATGTGTAGAGTGCCAGCAGAGGCCAGAAGAAGGTATTGGGTCCCCTGGAACTGGATTAAGAACAGTTATTAGCCACCATGTGGGTGCTGGGAACTGGACCCCAGTCTCCTGGAAGAGCAGTCAGTGCATGTTTGTTTGTTTGTTTGTAGACAGATCTCCCTGTAGCCCTAGCTGACCAGGAACTCACTATGTAGGCAGGCTGGCCTCTATCTCACAGGCCTGCCCCTGCTTCCCAAACACTGGAATTAAGGGTATGCACTACCATTCCTGACTCACATCCAACTTTTTTCCAAGAATTCTGAGAATAAAATTCAGATCATCAGGCCTGTGTAGCTAGCTAGTACTTTTACCTGCTGAGCCATCTCCCTGGCCCATCTGTTTCCTCAAGGCTCCCTCTCCCTCTCCCTCTTTCTCACCCTTACCTTCTCCCTCTCCTCTTCCCCCCTTCTTTATTTTTATTTTCTATGTATGAGTGCTTTGCCTACATGTATGTACATGCATCCACTTCATGCAATGCCTATGGAGGCCAGGAGAGGGCATAGAAACCCCTGGAACTGGAGTTACCCACAGTTGTTAGCCTCCATGTGGGTTCAGGGAACTGAATGTGAGTCCTCTTCAAGAGTAGCCAGTGCTAGTAACCATCATTTCATGTGTGTGCATGCATGATGGGGGGGGGGCGTACATGTGGCATATGTGTGGAGGTCTAAGGACCTCTCCTTCCACCTTTACATGGCTTCCAGGGTTTGAATTCAGGTCACCAGGCTTGTGTAGCAAATGCCTTTACCGACTGAGCCATCTCTCCAGTTCCTTGTCTCTTAGGTACTCCTGCTGGATCAGCAGTCATTTCATCAACCAGGTTGGCCAAATACTGTTAGTAGGGAAGTGTGTAGGAAAATGTAGGTGGCGTTTTACAATGTTTCTGGTAACTAGCACTGTTAGAAAGCCACACTAAAACCTTGGGATGCAAGACTGGCTGCCCTGTGTTTTGTGTGCCAGGCTGCCCACATATCTGTAAGTACCTGAATTCAAATTGAAAGGTTTCCAGATGTTAAGAGATTGTAACTTTATCTTCATGGGAATCTCAAACAGATTTTGACCATCCTAGAGCCTCTCAGAATAAACTTGGGGTCACTTGAGATGGGAGTGTCCACTGTATCCCAGACCCTTTCACAACCAACAGGCTTCTGTGGCATCAAGCTCTTACTAACAGCAGCTCTGTGGGCCCAGCACTATGCTGGCATCTGGAAATCAGAAGCAAAAGCCCTAACTCTTGCCTAGTGAGTAGTGAGGCAACAGCCATTCTGCAAGGAGATTTCCGCCTGCAAGGACAGAGAGTGTTAGCAGTCGGGTGGCCAGTTCTCAGCATAGTGAGTAGTGAGGCAACAGCCATTCTGCAAGGAGATTTCCGCCTGCAAGGGCAGAGAGTGTTAGCAGTCGGGTGGCCAGTTCTCAGGAAAAGGAGCTCTATCTCAGCTATGTCCTCTCTACCACCCAATCCAAAGCCATCTAGGTTCAGGAAGTGCTCGGCAGGTGGTCAGAGGGACAAGTTTGAGACCCTCCCAGTTTCTTATGACTTCTGTATGGAGAGGGACTGGCATTCGTCGAGTTTTTACCACCTGAAATCCTTTACATCATTCCTGAAACAGAGGACACTGGTGTCCCCATCCCTGCTTTTCAGACACAGAATTGCAGAGTTACAGATACATAGCAGAGCCAGGGTTTGAATCCAGCGCAGCCTGATCTCAAGCTCCTTGCTTTTCTCTCCAAAGCAAGGCAGCTCCAGAGGTGGAGGTAACTGAAATATCCTGAAGTCAGTAGAGTAGAACAGGGTGCCAGCAGTCTACCAGGTGTGGCGGAGACCCCAGGGTGCCCGCACACACCACGCCGGGGGCCAAGCGACACGCGCCATACCCACTAATCCAGCAGAAGCCTGGGCATTACTCCTACCCAGGGTTGGTGGCACCTGGCCCTATTTAGGGATTAGGTGATGGAGATAAACTTCCTGGGCCGGCAGCCCTTGTTCCCATTCATTTGCAGCACACAACAATCCAGATTAAGGTAGAGAGTTGGGTTTTATTTGGAGATTAGTTGGTATTACAGATGATAGTGATACCAAAGCCCAATGCTGCTCCACCTCCTTCCCCAGATCTGTCAGGTTGTCCCCATAGCTCACGTCAGAGGACAGCCAGTCTGATCTTTGGGAAGATTCAATCAACCTAAGCCCCAGGCTCCTATTTCCATGATTTTAATATCACTCCCTCTTCAGGCCTACAGTTCTGATTAATTTGTCCAGGTGGTAGGAAGTCAGGTGTGTGGCAGGGGGGCTGAACTATGAAAGGATGGGTCCCCAGCAGTGCAGCTCTTAGGATCAGCACCCCTCCTATGGCTCACTTAGAGAGCTGAGGGCCCTGTTAGACTGGTGGCTGCCCCCTCCAGAGGGAGGTGGTTAGCTCATGTAAGAGGAATCTGAGACCAAGCCTGGCAGGAGGTGGAAACTGGCCCCTTACCTAATTCTTCTGACAAACTCCTGCCAAGATAATGGGCTTATGCCCCAAGAAGGACCAGGGTGCTGCGTAGCAGAAGCTGGGCTCCCCTCACTACAGAGGACCTGCAGCTGGTGGAGGCTGAGGGAAGGGACCCCTAAGCTAAACTTTCCATTAGAGAATACTCCCTGTGTAAAAAGAGATCCACTTCTGCTGTGTTGAGTCAGGGATGGAGTGGGCCAGACATGAAGTCATACAAGCTCTAGACCTAGATTAGGAGTGGTCCACATTGGTGACAATGGCTGAGGTATAAATTAAGTCAGACAGGCTGCCCATTGATGTCTGGGAAGCAACTTGCTCCAGAGAAGGGTGGGCCCCTGAAGTCCCAGCTAGTCCCCATGGGACCACAGTTTTAGCCACTGCCCAGCCCTGCCCCGGACCCATGCTGGGAGCTGCATAGGAAGCCTGTGGACATACTGAGACACACAGCTGAACTGGTAGGAGGTAGAAACTGACCTGGTGATCCAGGCTCCCAGGGCTGCTGACGGGTATCTAGAAAAGAGCAGGAACTTCGGGGAGACTCTGGCCTAGGGGTTAGGACGACTGGCTTTCTGTTCTGATTCTCTTGGCCCAGCGGTTCTGGAACCACACCTGGTAGGGAAGATGAAGGGGTGTATTTGGGCTCCAGGATTCTCTCCTGGGACAAAGCAGAACCTGAAAGCAGAATTTCCAGGGGGAAGGGGATGTGGGTCAAGTTCAAAAGTTGGCTATTGCAACTTACCTGGATCTTGGCCTCAGGTGAGTTACCTGGGCCAGGTGCTCACGGGTGCTGACGTCAGGGTAAGGCCTTGTTGCAAACACCTGTTCCAACTCCAGCAACTGCCCAACGCTGAAGGTGGTCCTCTTTCTCTGATGGGGACCCAACCCATTGGCACGGCCTGTCAGCCAGGATGGGAGTCAAGCAGGAACTCCTTGCATGTACCTCCATCCAGCCTCAAAGCCTTAAACAGACCCTGCAGCCCCTACTCTCCATCCCACCCTGCTCTACTTCCTGCCCACCCTTTCCCTACCAGATCAGCTGGAGATTCCTCTGCAGGACTGGTCATGGAGCTGGCCAAGGGTGAGGAGCCAGAGGGCCATGTCAGGGCTGTGCTCATACCAAACCCAGCCCTTGGGGTTTTATGCTATTCAGAGAGGGTGGCTCCGCCTCCAGAAGGGGGAGACAAGGCAGGATTGGAGTTGTGGGTATAGGTAGGGCTAGAGTGCTGGAAACACACACACACACACACACACACACACACACACACACACACACACGTACACCCCTAAGCCTCACAAAACTAATGGTAGTCTCTGCTTTCAGTCCTACCTTGCTTCTTCCCCAAAGCCACAGAAATCAAGCGACCCAGGGCTTCAGCTACCCCCCAAGGGCCTTCGGTATTGTTTCTAGCAGCCTTCAGGGGACAATATCCCACCCATTTATGGCTGGTCAGTGAAGATGGATGAGATGAGGTTGCTAAGGGAGAGCAGATGAGCTGGAGCCCCCTGCTGTGAGCAGGGCTGGGAACAGATGTCACACCAGATTGCTATCAGGGCTGCTCTAGAGTTTGGCCTGCATCTAACCTTTTCTGGCTCCTCAAAAGTCCAAATGGGCTTCCTGGAATTCAGGAACATGGAGCTGGGGAGGGGGCGGTTCCCACAGGTGCAACTGGGGTATTACAGAGGTGTTTACTTGTAGTGTTCCCTCCCATGGAGGTCTTCTGAGCTGCTTTACTATGAGAAGGGGGTGCATGTGACATTCCTCCCATCTCTCTTCTCACTGTTCCCCATCCCACTTCCAGGACAGAGACCTCAGAGAAAAGCCTTTTTAGGCCTGGGTTGTGGGAGCATAGTGAGTTTCTCTTGATCAGTGTAGACCAGGCTGGCCTCTGCCTCCCAGGTGCGGGGATTAAAGATGTGTGCCACCACGCCCAGCCTTATTTTTTAATTTTATGTGTATATATATTGCCTGTATGTAAATGCACCCACGTTGTGCAGTGCCTGTGAAGGTCAGAAGAGGGCCTTGGATTCCCCTGGAACTGGAGTTACAGATGGTTGTTATCCACCATGTGGGTGCTGGGAATCCAACCCACGTCCTCTGCAAAAGCAGCCAGTGCTCTTAACCACTGAGTCATCTCTCCAGCCCGTTATTTTATTTTTTACATTTATTTATTTATTTATTTATTTGGTCTTTTTGAGACAGGGTCTCCCTGTAGCACCAGCTTGCCTGGAACTTTCAGTGTAGACCAGGCTGGCCTTGAACTCACAGAGATCTACCTGCCTCTGCCTCCTGAGTGCTGGGACTAAAGGCGTGTGCCGCCACACCTGACCTGTACATTTATTTTTACGTGTATGGGTGTTTTGCTTGCATGCAATGCCAGCAGAGGCCAGAAGAGGGCGTCTGATCCACTGGAACTGGAGCTAACTGTGTTTTAGATTCATGATATGATAGGCAGAAAAGCTTGAATTGGGCTTGAATGCCACCCTCTTGCTCTTTTTCCTCCAAGACCCTATTCAACTCCAGGGGCAAAGAAGTCTCGCCTGGGGGAGGTGGCTGGGTAACTGCTGTCATCATCACAGGGACTGGAAAAATATTCTGTTACTGGCGGGATGCTGGGAGCTGCTTTGCTCAGAAAGAAGAGTGGCTTTCACAAGGTCCCCGCCCCCCCAATGGTTGAAGAAGAGGACCTGAGTCCAGCATGTCCTGGTCAGAATGAGGCCCCTCTTTGTCCCTCCTCAACCTGTTCTGAAAATATGACTTCCCCTCCTCCACCCAGGAGGGGTCTGCCCACCCCATCCAGGATGGGAGTCTTAAACTTGAGGATAAGAGACTTTATTGGGCTGTGAGAAAAAGGCTAGAGGACAAAGCTGAGGCTTAGCCTTGTAGGCTCTGACTCCTAGTGGTCAGGGGCTGGGCAGCCCAGCCAGTACTGGGCAATGGAGCGTGGGTAGGGAGGGTTCACAGTGTCCACTCGGTGGGTGCGAAGGTTGACTCGGTAGTACTTGTCTGAAAGAGAGGACAGAAAAGTATGTGAGACCCTGCCTGGCCTTGCCCACTGGTCCCAAGAAACAAAGGATTCTCTAGGAAGGGAAAACATCCAGCATGCAGCTAGGGACTCCTGGCCTGTGATTCTGGGGTCACTGGGGAGCCAGAGCCAGCAGAAAAGGCCCAGGCAAGACCAGCTCCAAGGTAGAAGGGGCTCCCACCTCCAGAGAAGAAGTAGACGCTTTGGATGGGCTCACAGGTGGCAGGCACAAGCCAGTTCATATCATAATCATAGTTGTCTCCCAGCCCGCTCTCCTCACTCGAGAATAAAGAGAACCAGATTGAACGTGATGGGCGGCGTGAGTTTAGGCTGTGGCTGCGACCACGACCACGGCGTGAACGGTAATGTTTTCGGCTGCGACGCCTAGACTTTTGTTTCTTAGCCCGGGAGGGATGGAGTGTTGAGCCTGAGACATAGATGCGGCCAGCCATGGCAGCGTCTACTTTTCCAGGCACACCATGCCAGTCCCGGCTGATAAACTGGGGCTCTGTGGCACCACCTGTAGCAAGGAAGGAATCGATAGGCTTTGAGGACCCAGGCCCTGATCTCTCCAACAGGGCTTTTAAGAGTTCATCTACTGATCCATGCCCAGGACACACAACAGGCTCATGGTAGAGCCCAGCAACTGGGCCTCAGACTCCCTAGCCAGTGCTCATTCCTGTGTCCTCCCTCCACCATATCCCTAGTACCTCTGCCCCACTCCTAAGCCCTTCAATCATAGCCCCTCCCTCTTCTGACTATGCCAGGCAAAGTCCACAGCATGGGGTCCAAGTGAAGCCAAGCCTCCCCCAAAGATCAACAGAAGCAAAGTCTAGCCTCAGCAAATAGCTCTAGATCGATAGCACCACCACCCTAGTCTCTCCCACAGCCCCTTGCCCAGCAGCCCAGCTCTACTCCTACCCTAGGTTCCTTCTCCCCTGAGACAGAATGAAAGTTTGCCCTTCCTCCCTACCAGAGGATCTGCCCCAGAAGAGTATCTCAAAGATGTTCTCCCAGCTGTCCCGCTGCAGCAAGGCAAAGTGCTCAAACACAGCCGACAAGGAGCTGCCTTCACACTCCTCCCGGCTGGGCTGGTTCTGGAACTCATACTCCCAGTACTGCTTCCCTGAGGAACAGGACAGCTGGCATCAGGAGGGTGGGTCTGGGCAAGGTTGGGGATCTCCTGGGGCAGGGCATGCACAAAAACTAAGGCCTGCCTCAAGCAAGGGTAAATGGAAACTGGGACTGCTCCACCACCCTCCCCTTCTCCCTCCATGAGTACCCTTGAAGAAGTAGACCCGCTCCCGGCCACTGTAGCTGTGGGCAGGGAGGGCGAATGCTGCATCCACGTTGTCTGGGATGCCACTGAAGCCTTCAGAGATGTTTCGGGGATAATCAGGGTCCATAACACCATCCTCAAAGCGCCAGTACTGACCACCCTGTGAGACAGGGAAGGTGAATGGGGGTGAAGATGCACTGCTGGGCTCAGAGGCAGAGTCCCACATCCTAAAGTGGCTTTCACCAGTTCCAAGTTTGCTGTTCATGACCTGGAGCCCCTAGCTGACTTGTTCTCACAGTTCCTAGTCTCTTCCATGATACCCTGTGCACTAAGCCACAGCCTCAGGTCTGGTACCTTGAAAATATAGGTCTTCCCTTGACAGTTGATGCGGGTGAAGGCAGCATCAATGGGACCTTCAATGCCCCAGACATCTCGGATGAGTTTAGGGTACCCAGGTCTCACTGCTGTTTCATCTAACTCATAACAGTACTGTCCTAGAATAGGGAAGGCTGTGTGAGGAGAGGGTGTTCCAGGGCAGACCCCACCACCACCATACCTGCCCATGGAGTCACCTCGGAAGGCAAAGAGGGAACCATTCTTGAGGTCAGTGAAGGCATCAAAGGGCTTCCCACTACACAGCTCCTCCTGTGCTGGAAACTCAGAGGTCTCTTGATCAGTGGCCTCGGGCCTGGAGCTTACCTCTTCACGTCCCACTTCACGCCCAGGGATGCTCGCCTCAGATGTAGGCACCTCTTCCTCAGGCTTTAAGAAAGGTGCCCGCTCTGGAGTCCTTTCTGTCTGGGTGTGCAGGTCAGGATGTACAGAGGAGATATTTGGCTGTCCATGGATGCTGGTGTTGTTTTTGATCTCTTCCAGGTAGTCATAGGTCCCATATTCATCTTCTGGCATAGTAAACACATCGCCTCGAGTCACTGCAGGCAGAATGGGTGGTAGTGAGTTTCTTGTTATAGAAGGGACCCCAAGCCTTACCCACCAGAGCTCCAAACACACCTTGGGGCTTGCACTCAACCATATAATCAACACAACAACTCTCGTAGTAAGTACAGAGGTCGTCGCACTGACACTTCTTGCTGGCATTGAAACCCTCAGTGCAGCGGCCCTTACACGACTCTATGGGGAGGAGAAATCAGTTTTCGCAGCCCAGTCCAGGCCACCTTGCCCACCCTGCATTGTCCTACATGGCCATAATTGCCCTCCCATACCTTGATCAGCCAGAGCAACCCATGCCAGCAGAGCTAGCATGAGAAGGGGCCTGAAGGGCACCATGACAGGCCTCTAGCTGAGGACCTGGCAAACTGGGCTCTGAGCTCTCCGCGTCTTGCTGTGCTGCCTGGTGGAAGGAAAGAACTGAAGGTGAGCTGCTGTGCTGTGTTTTTGCCCTGTTTGCTCATCTTCTGACCCAGCCCTGTAACCCGCCTCCAAAGGCAGCTGCAACAAAGGGTCACACTCCCAGAACCCCAGGCCTAGAAGAGTTGGGAAACAGAATTCTTGCCAAGACCAGAGTCAATAGGTTCATGGGCAGAAAGAATAGCATGGTGGGTCTGGAGGGCAAAAAGAAGGCACATGACACTCATTGGACAAATTGTTTTAATCTCTCCAAACCTTGCTTTTTATAAAAATGGTATGATGATGCCTTGTCTTGTGGGGGAAGCTAGAACAAACAAAATGCTCAGTACCTGGAGTAGCTTCTGATTCATTCCCATAAGCAGTTATTGATCTATGGTTTGTTTACTCAGGCACATTCCTGGCTCAGTGCTTGTCCTACTTCCTATCCTCCCACCCCAGTTCGACATTCAGGGGAGTGGAGGGAGCCATGAGAGGACAGCTGTTAAGCACTCTGGGGTGATTTCTTTTTTATTATAAAAGAGCAAAGTGTTATTTCTGACCTCTATTTGTGGAAGCTGGTCTTCACAGCACAGGAAGCAGTGCCTAACTCATTGGACCAGATTCTATTCCTGAGACTTTGCTAATCCACTGATTCTAGGCAGGCAACTAGCCGGGCATGGTGACACACACCTTTAATCTCAGCACTCTGGAGGCAGAGGCAGGTGGCTCTCCATGAGACTGAGGCCAGCCTGGTCTACATAGTGAGTTCCAGACCAGCAGGGGCTGTAGGAAAGCCCTGTCTCAAAAAGACAAAAAACAAAAGGGGGCTGGAGAGATGGTTCAGCGGTTAAGAGCACTGACTGCTCTTGCGAGGACCTGGGTTTGATTCCCAGCACCCACATGGTGGCTACAAACTGTCCTTAACTCCAGTTCCAGGGGATCCAACACACTCTTCTGACCTCCGTGGGATTGCACAACACGGGTGCATTCACATACATGCAGGCAATACACTCATACACATAAAATAAGAATAATAAATATTTTTAAAGAATTGTTGGGGCTGGAGAGATGGCTCAGCAGTTAAGAACACTGGTTGTTCTTGCAGAAGACCCAGGTTCAAATCCAAGCACCCACATGGCAGCTAACAACTGTCCATAACTCCAGTTCCAGGGGATCTGACGGCCTATTCTGTCTTCCCCGGGCATTGCACAACACAGGTACACTTACCTACATGTAGGCAATACACTCATACACATAAAAATAAATTAAAAAAAAATTTTTTAAAATGTTGCCAGGAACCGGACGTGGTGGCGCACGCCTGTAGTCCCAACACTTGGGAGGCAGAAGCAGGCAGATCTCTGTGAGTTCAAGGCCAGCCTGGTCTACATA